GCCCTGGCTGACCCCCGTCTGCACTGACCCCCGTCTCGAGGCTCCCGGTCCGACACCTGGCGGACTGCCCCGGTGCTGAGGGGGGAGCGGAGCGGAGCGGAGGCCCGCGCAGGGCTCCGCGAGGAAGCTGCCGGGAGGGCCCAGGCCCGCTCACGTGCTGATGCAATCTTAGGTCGGGCCTGTCCCCCTACAGAGGGGATTTTCGACGACGAAAAATAAGAAGTACCCCAAAATGCCCCCAAATGGTCAAAAAATGCTCCAAAAATAGTCCCCAGACTATTTTTGGACCACATCTAGGGTATTTTCAATTTCTCGTCGAAAATCCCCCTGTAGGGGGACACTCCCGACTTAAATGTAATCGTCCTTCCGATTGTCCCACGCCTCTGACTTCGCAACCCGTGCAGTGGGAGCTCGACCACAAGAAAACCCTGCCACGAGAGACCCAACCCTGAGACCCCCCAGGACGTCCATTTGATCTGCAGTGCGGGAGCGTGTCGCGCTTTTTCCACAGCAGAGCCCTCGAAACCCAAGAGACCCAGGGCACCCTGGAGGCAAGCACTGGCCATCGCTCGGACGTCCATTCCCAGTGTTTTTTTCAGTTTCGTGCGTGGTTTTTTCGCCAAATGATCAAGAATGCTCCTCGATGGTCCTCGCCGAAGGAAAAATGCACACGTCCGAGCGATGCCAAGCCCTGGAGGCACGCAGGGCGTGTGCTGTTTAGAGCATAGGGCTTCCGCTGCACGCCCTGGAGAGCAGGCAGGCGCGCCAGCGCGTGGTATCTCCTCCTCCTCCTCCTCCTCCTCCTCCTCCTGCTCCTCCTCCTGCTCCTCCTCCTCCTCCTCCTCACCTCCTCCTCCTCCTCCTCCTCCTCCTCCTCCGCCCTCGGGGCGCGCGCATCTCGTCGCGTGGGGCCATACCTCGGGCGGGCGGCTCGGGACCGTCGGACGGGGCAGCGAGGCCAGGCGGGCGGGCGGGCGGGACAGTGTGGGACCCCAACCCAACCCGAAGACCCGAATTTCGGGTTGTGGGGGGTATGGGCTCCATGTGTGTGTATATATGTTTTTCGATGTTCCCGGACCCCCCCCACTGGAAATGGAGGGCAGATTGAGGCCTTCGGGTTGGGTTGGGGTGGTTTGGTGGGTGGTGAATCGGGCACCAACGCGTGCGACATCGTCGCGTAGGACCTCGGGCCAGCGCCGCCCCAGTCTGCCTGCCGAGCAGGAACAGCGGTTGGAACTGCGATGGAATCCCGCCAGCATGGGCGGCATCCGAGCAGGGACTGCGGTGCTTCTTGGCACGGGTTTCCACTGTACCCAATCGTTTGGAGTCCCGAAACGGTGCGGCGACGGACCGTGCGGTGACCTCGAAATCCCCCCAGACCTCACCGCACGGTCCGTCACCGCACGGTTTTGGGACCCCAGAGGCCCCTGTCGCTCGAGACGTCCTCGGATAGGGACTCGAGTCCCGAAACCGTGCGGTGACCTGGACTCCCCACCGACTCACCGCACGGCGTGGTCACCACCCCGTTTGGGAACCCCCGAAATTGCCGCAGCCAGCGGATGTTAGCACATGTTGTTTGGCATCGCCCACCCAGCCAGCCTTGGGTTATATCGGGCCTGTCCCCCATACAGGGGGATGTTCGACGAAAAATGAGAAATACCACAAAAACACCCTAAAAAGGTAACAAACATATTCAAAAAATGGTCCCCGGACTATTTTTTTGACTATTTGTTGACCATTTGTCTGGGGTATCTTTCATTTTTCGTTGAAAATCCCCCGGTATGGGGGACAGGCCCGATGTAATGTTAGCACATGTTGTTTGGCATCGCCCACCCACCCAGCCTTGGGGCGCGGCCGGGTCGTGCGGCCATCGTGCTACGGTCAAAACGTGCATATTGAGGACGGGTAGCCAGGACGCGAGGCCCTTGGAGGCCGACGTTGGGACTCTTTGGGCGGCGGGCGCCCAGTGCAAACGGCAGAGGACGGGCCGCAGAGGCAAGCTATGTTGCATCCTCGGGGGACCTTGTCTGTCCCGTCGCGGCCCTGTCCGCGTCGAATCCGTGCCGAATCCATGTCGGACGCGTCGGATCCGTGTCGAATCCGTGTCGAATCCGCGTCGAATCCACGCCAAAGCCGCGTCGAGTCCGCATCGAGCACGCGTCGGGCCCCCAAAAAGACACCGATTTTTGGGACAGGCGAGGTCCCCCGAAGATGCAACAGAAGGCAAGGACACGAGGGCACCCTGGATTAAGGCGCGCGTCCTCACTGGGCGCGTTGACTGCACCGCTTGGGCGTTGACCTAAGGAACCCTAAAGAAGGAACGAGGCCCCTTTTTCCCACAAGTGAAACTTCGATTCCCCATCGAAGCCCTAAGCAAAACCAAAGGCGAACTACAAAACAACTGAGGAACACCGAGCCCCTCCCCAACGAAAAGGGTTCCTTCCTCAGCGCCCCGACTGTAGTGGGGAGATAGTGGGGAAGGGTGACAGACTGGGCGCGCTCGCGCCAATGCCTGACATCCTACCCATCCCAGCCATCCCTTCCAACTGCACAAAGGGCCCAAGGACACACAAATAAGCACACACAAATAAAATAATCTCCCATATTTCCCCATATTTTCAGGGTTTTTGTCTTCCCCCCCAACGAAAAGGGTTCTCCAGATTTCGTAATAAAGGGAGGGGGGTCTCATTTCGGGGGGGGGTCTCCTCCAGGCTCTCTTGGAGGGCCTGGGGGGTCTGGGGACGATGTTTTGGAGGCTTCTCCCACGGGGGAGGTCTGAAATGGCTTGTCTTGGAGGGTCCAGACCCCCTCCCTTGTATTACGAAATCTGGAGTACCCGACCCGCGCTCTGGGCATCCCTCTCCGGCACCCCCCCACGCCCCTGGGTATACTTGTGGAAGTCGATCAATGGAGAGGAAGCATGCTGCGAAATAATTTCCTGATGTCTACAAAAGGTTTCAAATATGTCTTCCCCCCCAACGAAAAGGGTTCCCTCCTCAGCGCCCCGACTGCACCGCAGGGGGGGCGCGGTGGGGAGGCAGCGACGGGGCTCTCTCTCTCCCGGCCACGGCGGGCCTCGGCGCCACGGGCGGGCCCCCCGGCTCCTCTGGACCCGAGGGGCTGCCCGGGAGCCGGGAGCCACGCCGGCCGGAGCCCAGGAGGCCCCTGCTCGAAGTCGGGCGTGTGCCCCGACAGGGGGATTTTTTTGACGACAAATAAAACATACCCCAAAATACCCCCAAGAGGGTCAACAAAATACCCCCAAGAGGGTTCCTGGACCCGAGGGGCTGCCCGGGAGCCAGAGCCACTCCGGAGCCCATGCACAAAAAAAAAGTCCCCAGACCCCATGCACAAAAAAAAGTCCCCAGACCAGTCTCCTGAGCCCAGGAGGCCTCTGATTTGTCATGGAACCGCGTGCGTTCGCTCGTCGAGGGTTGCTTCAGTGCCTGGGGGCAATCCCTGTAGGCGTGAGGACTACAGTTGTAAGCCTGGGCTCCCCCCGTTTAGTCAAACAATATCGCTTTATCGATGCGTTCCTTCTCGCCTGGGTGTCTATTGCGCCCTTGCGCTGCGCGGGCGTTCTATGTCGCCGCAGTGCTTTAAGTCGGGCGTGTCCCCCTACAGGCGGATTTTCGACGACAAATAAAACATACCCCAAAATACCCCAAAAGGGTCAACAAAATACACAAAACAAAAAGTCCCCAGACCATTTTTGGACTATTTTCTGATTACTTTTGGGGTATGTTTTATTTTTCGTCGAGCCACGCCTGAGCCCAGGCTCGCCATCGCTCGGACGTCCATTCCCTGTGCTTGTTTCAGTTTCGTGCGTGGATTTTTCGCCAAATGATCAAGGATGCTCCTCGATGGTCCTCGCCGACGGAAAAATGCACACGTCCGAGCGATGCCAGGCAGGAGGCCTTGCTTCAGCGTCGTGACTGTGGGGTGCAAGGACTTTGGACGTCCACGTTGAAGCCTGCCAAGCGAGAGCGGCTGGCGGTGTGGCTGAGGATGGGGCGAGGACGCAGGGATGAACGGGTGCCTTGGGAAAGCAAGCATATCCTTCTGATCCTGTTTGGCCGTCGATGGTCCTCGCGCTGGGGCGAGCGTTCATAAGAAGAGCTCAAAAGAGAGCCCCAGTTTCGGTCCAAGTCTGCAGGTACAGTCGAGGCGTTGACCTAAGGAACCCCAAATAAGGAACGAGGCTCCTTTTTCCATAAGTGAACCTTCGATCTCCCATCGAAACTGAAGGAAAACCTTAGGCAAGGTGTGGAACAATTAGGGAACACCGAGCCCCTCCCAAACGAAAAGGGTTCCTTCTTCAGCGCCCCGACTGTATGCCAAGCACTCCACGCTTCCCCAAACACTCCGCACCTCCACTCCAACACAACACGGGGCTGGTTGGGGTTGGTCGGCGGGTTTCACTCTGCGAGCTTCGTTAGCCATCGCGCGCCGTGAGGAAGAAATGCTGCAACGACTTGAATTTGGGTATTCCAGCGCGCCGTCAAGACAGAGCACCCGTGTCATGTGGGATCGAAGAGCTTAAGAATGAAGGGGCCCCAGGGGACACACTAATAAATACACACAAATAAAAGGATTCCCCATATTTTCCCATATTTTCTGGGTTTTGTCTTCCCCCCACTTCCCATATTTCCCTTATTTTCTGGGGAATCGCCGAATAATTGTGTCTGTGTGTTTTTTCCCCTCCTGAGAAATGCTGTAACGACTTGAATTTGGGTATTCCAGCGCGCCGTCAAGACAGAGCCCCCGTGTCATGTGGGATCGAAGAGCTCAAGAAGTAGGCGCCACGTCTGCAGCCCCAGCTTCGCCGAAGCGCTGGGCGAGCCTGGTACCAGAGTCACGAGTGCTAAGTGCGCTCGGCCGTCAACGAATAGGCCCCCGAGAGGCCCCCGAGAGGCCCCAGGAGATCCCCAAGAGGCCCAGAAGACGCCCCCAAGGGCCCCAAACCGGCCCCTAAGAAGCCTCAAAGCGGCCCCCAAGAGGCCTCCCGCGACATTCCAACGAACATCCGCTCGCCAACTCGCCCTGCTGCTTCCCGCGCGGCAAACAGCGGCCAAGACTATTTTCGAATTCGGAGCGGGCCGGCTGCCAAAGCTGGCCCCTCCGAGTGGCACAAACGCGGCGTCGCTTCCGGGGCTCTTCGGCCGGGCGACGCCAGGAGCGGCGGGAGGAGCAGGAGGAGGAGGAGGAGCAGGAGTGGGAGAGTGGGAGGAGGAGCAGAATGACGCCAAGCGTTGGTTTCTGACTCCGAGCGGATCGGTCAAGCTTGATCGATCGGCGGTTTTCCGATCGCCAGATCGTTCCGTGTTGGTCGATTCTGGGCCACTTGCGGCGTTCAACCCTGGAACGCCCGCGGCGGCGTCGCCGCCTCGTCAGCACGACGCGCACCTGCCGTGGCCAGTTTCGGCTCGAGCTGCTTGCTGGGTACTCTTGTAACGTGCCGCTGGGATGGGCGCGGGACTCTCCAGGGCAGCTTCGCTGGTTTGCGGCTGGCCGCAGGCTGTCCACCCATGTACTGGCGCCCGGGACCCGCACACAAATCCTGTCCGATGCCGAGCTGCGCTTTCCTGGGTCTCCTAACTTCGCGCATCGCGCCCGTCGATGCGCGATGCACGGTTATCGTCTCGCCCTCGCGCCGCTGCCCTGAAGAGATCTGAAGAAGGGCAGCTCTCCAATGCACGCCGCGCTGCGCGAAGCGCAACTTCACGGCCCTGGGGGTGACCTGGGATACCGAGCCACGCTCCGAGCTCCTCATCTTCGTGCCGCCTGCCTCGGCACAGCCGCCGTGGGCGGGACGTGCGCGCGCACGCTGGTCGCAATGCACGCCTGCTCGGATACCAGCTACATCAACGACAAGGCTGCGGCAGAGTGCTTGGAGCTTGGAGCCAGAATCCGCCCCCGCAGCGCGCCTTCTGGCGTCGTTGGCGCAGAGTAGGCGACAAGCCTGGAGCGGCTTCCCCCCCAGGGGCTGCACGTGAACAGCTTTGCTGGCACTGCATGCGCTTACTCAGCGATTGCGCGTGGCATGCGAGCCTTTCGAATTCACGAAGAGCACATGGACTTCGGAACCGGCGCACAGTGCGTGCCTTCTAGCGCCATGGAGGCCAAGCGCCGCAATTCTTGGAGTTAGGTCGGGCCTGTCCCCCTACAGGGGGATTTTGGACGAAAAATAAGAATACCCCAAAAATACTCGAAAGATGGCCAACAAATACGCAAATTATCCTGGCGAAGGTCCCAACCATATGCAGTTGTGGGTACCGAAGTTGTGAATATCTGCTTCGGCGAAGCTCCCTATGGGGCCACGAAGCGCTGCACTGGGCGGGGGGGAACGCTGTACTGTGTGGGTGGTGTGCCGACTTGGGTTTGCGGGACGCATGCGGACGGTCCCACTGAGGGCTTCGGTGGAGCTCCCTATGGGGCCACGAAGCGCTCTACTGAGTGAGTGAAAATGCCAAATTGGGTCTCCGGGACGCATGCGGACGGTCCCACTGGGGGCTTCGGTGGAGCGCCCTATGGGGCCACGAAGCGCTGCACTGCGCGGGTGAAAATGCCAAATTACATTTCCCGGACGCATACGGACGGTGGCACTGGGGCCTTGGGTTGAGCCCCCATATGGGGCCACGAAACGCTGCACTGAGTGGGTGAAAATGCCAAATTGGGCTTCCGGGACGCATGCGGACAGGGGCACTGGGGCCTTCGGTGGAGCTCTCTATGGGGCCACGAAACGCTGTACTGGTTGTGCGGGACGCATGCGGACGGTAGCGCTGGGACCTTCGGTGGTGCTCCCTATGGGGCCACGAAGCGCTGTACTGGGCGTGCGGGACGCATGCAGACGGTAGCACTGGGACCTTCGGTGGGGCCTCCCTAAGGGCCACGAAACGCTGTACTGGATGGGTGAAACGCAGGGAGGAGGGGATGGAGGGCCACGAAACGCTGTACTGGGTGTGCGGGACGCATGCGGACGGTAACACTGGGACCTCCGGTGGAGCTCCCTATGGGGCCACGAGGCGCTGTACTGGGTGGGTGAAACGCAGGGAGGGGGGGGAGGAGGGCCACGAAACGCTATACTGGGTGTGAGGGACGCATGCGGACGGTAGCACTGGGACCTTCGGTGGAGCTCCTTATGGGGCCACGAAACGCTGTACAGGGTGTGCGGGACGCATGCGGACGGTGGAGAGGAGGGGGCAGAGGAGGAGGGGAGAACGCGGGGACCGTTTCTTCAAAACGAAGACCCAACACCACAGGATGGTTGGGAAAAATAATCTCCTGACTACTTTTTAACGATGTTTGGAGATTCCCCCTGCAGAGGGACAGGCCCGACTTGATTCTGGCGCCATGGAGGCCAAGCGCCGCAATCGTGGAGGTTGCCGTGGTCGAGGGAAGCCCACCGCAGGCAGCAGCTGCACTCGACACCCAAAGGGGGGCCGCCGGAGAGCCGCGACGGAGGCGTCCAGGGCAGACCCCGCCCGCAGCTCCGAGAGCACTTCCCGGCGGTTCGCGTTCGACTGGCACTCCAGAGTGTAACACTCCGACGGCGGCTCCGATGAGAGACACTCTCGACGGTGGCCCTTGGCAGCCTCTGGCGGCACTCTTGGCAGCCTCTCGGCGGGCGCCTGTGGACGTCGCTCGGCGCCGCCTTGGAACCCTCTCGGGCCACTTGAGGGCGCTCTTTGCCCATCGTGGCACTCTCTGGAGCCGCTCCCGAACCCTGGAGGAAACCTCTTGAGCTGTCTTCGGGCGCCCTTGCAGGCATCTGGCGCCGTCTTCGAGCCATCTGAGGGCATTTTGGACTCCTCTACCTCCATTGTGTCTTCGTCGTCACTGCCTGCAGGGTCGGCGGTATCGGCCGTAAGGCCTTCGCAATATGTGCGTTACGGGAATCGTAGAACTAATTTACCTCAACACGCACAAGCAGGAGCCTACGCTCAAAAGGGCGTGTGTTGTTCATGCAGCGTCCTTTCACAGGGTATCGTTTCAGCCAATTTAGTGTGCGTGCGCGTGTGCTTGTACCACCATGTCGTAAAGTACGCGGTCGCAGATCACGCGGTCGACGTGTGTGCATGTGCGCATCTAGACTTAATTGCACAGTGTCCGAGCAGCAGAGAAAAGGAACACGATGGGGACCACGGAAACGAGCAGGAGGACGAGGAGCAGGAGGAACAAAAGAGGTAGATAATTGGGGCCGATGGAAGCAAATACGACGAGGAGAAAGGAGTAACGGGTTGGTTTAAAACAGACCGCTATCTGCATGACTGCTGGCGTCGCGCACAGACGGCGCGCGCAACGGCTACAGCTTTTTACAACTAGCCGCACAACCACAAGCGCCGCGCACAAAAAACTGCGCAGCCCGTGAGGCAGTTCTTTAAAAAGTGTGGCCTGTGTAATCATTCCCGTCCCCTCATCCCGCTCTCCCTCCTGCTGCTGGTCAGGCCAGGTCCCCCCCCCTGCCCGCTCCCCGCGCCTCCTCTTGGCCCCCCTTCTCTGTCCGTTCCCTGCTGGTCTCTCTCTCTCTCTCTCTAACCTCTCTCTCTCTCTCTCTCGCTCTCTCTCTCTCTTTCTTTCTCGCTCTCTCTCTCTCTCGCTCTCTCTTTCCCCCCGCCTCTCTCTCTGTCCTCCCTCTTGTGTTTCTCTCTCTCGCTCTCTCTCCCTTTCCATTATCCCTCTCTCCCTCTCTCTCTTTACACATATATGTGTATGCATACACACTCATGGGAACCTGCATTTAAGGATGTCGTTATGTTGCTTTATCTCCTGCCGTTCCAATCCTGCCTCCTCTGTCTGCTGCCTACTCGGGGGCTCATGGCACGAGCACAAGCAGACTGAGGAATCTCTTATCGGCTCCCTGGCCGCCCCATGCTGCCCCAAGGTTTTTCAATGATGGCGCCACCAGCCGACCAGACCAATCCACAGCCGCGAACAAGTATCAGAACATTCCACTGGCGAGCGTCTTGTGTCAGAGGACACGCACACGAGAGGGCAAGTAAGCGGGACCTGCCTCTCGATGCTCGTGGGGTGCGGGGAAGGGTGCTTGGGCGAGACGCCCTTGACATAGCCTCCACGTGTCCTCGGGTCCTGTTCGTCCCAAAAACCTGCTGATCGCGCCAACGATGCCCTACAATGCTGCCATGATAACCTTGAGGCGCCCAGCGCCGCCCCGAGACGTCGCAAGAGGGCCGAAGATACTGGTATGATCCCCCTAGACGCCCCCGGAAGAGCCCAATGGAACCCCCAGACGGCCAACAACCTACATATTTCTCTTGGCTATCCGACGGCACGTTTTGGCTTCCAAACCTTTCGGTTCAGATGGCTCGAGAAACCCGAGCCGAACTGAGCCCCCAAAAGCGCCTCGAGAAAGTCCTCCGAAATATAGCCCCGAGGCGGCCAACGACGATCCCACGGGAGCCCACGACAGCCCTATAGGGGGCCTCCAGGGGGGGCCTTCGACGGCCCGCGGGGGGCCCCGAGACGGCCTCTGGACGCCCTGTAGCACCTCCGAGTAAATCCCCAAACGGCCCCAAGAGACCCCCAAGACGACCAAACCTCCTCCTCCTCCTCCTCCTCCTCCTCCTCCTCCTCCTCCTCCTCCTCCTCCTCCTCCCCTTCCCCTTCCTCCCCTTCCTCCCCCTCCTCCTCCTCCTCCTCCTCCTCCTCCTCCTCCTCCTCCTCCTCCTCCTCCTCCTCCTCCTCCCTCCTCCTCCTCCCCCTCCTCCTCCTCCTCCTCACATGTGCTGACAGACACCCCCATATGGCTCGAGAGCGCCACAGACAGCCCAAAAGGACCGCGATGGCCCCCCCCCCCAGGCAGCCCAGTGGGGGCTCCACGAGGGCCCGAAGATGGAGACCGCCAATGGGGTCAAAACGCCTCCAGGTCAGCCCACGTGAACCCACTGGGCGCCAGTACTACCGAATCTTGTGTTTCGGCCACAGGGGCAGTGCCTCGCTGAAGGCGTCTTCAATTCTAGCATAAGCTTCAAACCATTCGAAGCTCTGACACCCACTGAGCGGCAACCAGACGCCAGACACTAGACACTAGACACTCCCCTTCGGTTCCTCCTCCACCTCCTCCACTCAATCATCCTGACCTGCTCATGCCCACCCTCCTCTTCTCACTGGCCTTGAACGATCTAGAGCAACATACCCGCTACGTCCTTACACGTACCGTCATTTCCACTGAATAACACTCCCCGTCTTCGTATCAAGACTGATCCAGAATTGTATCCTCCTTTTCACCTGGCATCCCGATCCTCATCGTCATCGTTGTCATTCGCACGCTCGGTCTCATATTCCTCCTCATTCTCGTCTATCTGGATGGCCTCCTTCTCGCCCTCATCTTCATCATGCCGCTGCTCCTCCTCTGTGTCCAAGACCCCTGTGGCATGCCCAACTCTGCGGGGCCCGATATGACAGCACCAGGCGCCAAACGTCGCCGGGCTTCGGTCATCTAGGATGATGAAGGAAGCGAGGAGGGGAGGGCATAAGAGGTGGAATGGGGTGCGTGGCGAGAAGGATTAGGGGGAAGGCCATTGAGTTGCTGGAGACAGTCGTGCCTCCCCGCCCTTGGCCCGTAGCGTGTGGATCAGGTTCCAGTGGTTGCCTCCTGCTCTTCATGGCCCCCCCCCCCCGCCCGCACGCGAGCTGTAAGCAAATCTCCGATGGGGCAGCAGCATCAGGTCGGGCCTGTCCCCCTACAGGGGGATTTGGAGCGAAAAATAGAAGATACTCACAACATACTCAAAAGGTCCCCTAAAAATACTCCAAAAATAGTCCCAAACATATTTTTGGACTATTTTTGAATACTCCCCTTGTAGAGGGACAGGCCCGACTTAAGAGTAGCAGAGGAGTGAGCGACGAGAACGAGGCCGTAGGAGAGATCTCCCAAGAGGCCGAGGCAGATCTCCTGAGAGGCCGCATCAAGTCTCACAAGAGGCGACGAGAATAAGGAAGCAACTACTGGGAGGTTTTCGTTGGAAGGACTAAAAAGGATTAAGCCCCAATGGGGGGCTGTTACGCCAGAGCGGGCCTCGGATTAAGCCGGATTAAGCGGGATTAAGCCGGATTCAGCGGGATTAACCGGCTGCGAGCACACCGCGACAGCTGGCAGCGAGGGCGGAGGAGGCCTCAGGAGAGAGACTGCAGGAGGAGCTCGACCGCAAGAAACCTTCCACGAGAAACCCGACCCTGAGACCCCAGGGCGCCCATCGATTTTTGGTGTGGGAACGTCACGCCTTCCATAGCATAATCGTCGAAGAAACCCAAGGCACCCTGGACCCTGGAGGCAAGCAGGGCGTTTCTTGACATGGACTTCCGCTGTACGCCTTGAAGAGCGCGCAAGCACACCAACCCGCGGCATCCCATCGCGGAGTGCCATATCTCTGGCGGGCGGGTCGGGACGGTCGGGCGGGGCAGAGACGGCGGGCGGGCGGGACATTGTGGGACCAATCGCATCGGGCACCAACGCGTGCGACATCATCGCGTGGGACCTCACGCCAGCGCCGCCCCAATCTGCATGCCGAGCACGGACAGCGGTTGGAACTGCGATAGAATCCCACTAGCCCTTTAGGGCGTGGTTTAGAGCATTTCCTCTTCCAATCCCCCTTCATCCCCTTCGGGAAGGGGTACCACTGTTCCCTATTAATAAACACCCCCTCCCCCAGGGACCGGCAGCCAACCCGGACCAATCATGGCCCCGCCCAACAGCAATACAACATACACTTCGCCTCCAAATTTGGAGCATGCACGGGCGCCCCGCAACCACTTTGCATTGGTTCCCAACCATCCTGTAGTGTTAGGTCGTCGTTTTGAAAAGATAGCGCCCAGCTTGCCCTCCTCCTCCTCCTCCTCCTCCTCCTGTTCCTCCTCCTCCTCCTGTTCCTCCTCCTCCTCCTGTTCCCTCCCCTCCTCCTCCTCCTCCTCCTCCTCCTCCCTCCTCCTCCTCTCCTCCTCCTCCTACTCCTCCTCACTCCCCCCTCCTCCTCCTCCTCCTCCTCCTCCTCTCCTCCTCCTCCTCCTCCTCCTCCTCCTCCTCCTCCTCCTCCTCCTCCTCCTCCTCCTCCTCCTCCTCCTCCTCCCCTCCTCCTCCTCCTCCTCCTCCTCTCCTCCTCCTCCTCCTCCTCCTCCTCCTCCTCCTCCTCCTCCTCCTCCTCCTCCTCCCCTCCTCCTCCGCCTCCTCCTCCTCCTCCTCCTCCTCCTCCTCCTCCTCCTCCTCCTCCTCCTCCTCCTCCTCCTCCTCCTCCTCCTCCTCCTCCTCCCTCTCCTCCTCCTCCTCCTCCTCCCTCCTCCTCCTCCTCCTCCTCCTCCTCCTCCTCCTCCTCCTCCTCCTCCTCCTCCTCCTCCTCCTCCCCCTTATGTGCCTCTGCTCTCCGCATGCCAACTGGTTTGGCACACCCCTCACACGCTTCGTGGCTGCACAGGGAGCTCCACTGAAGGCCCCAGTGGCGACGTTCGCACGCGTCCACCTCACGCAGTTCAGCGCCTCATGGCTTCATCGGGAACTCCACCGAATGCCCCACTGGCGACGTTCGCATGCGTCCGCCCCGCCCAGTTCAGCGCTTCGTGGCCCCATAGGAAACACCACCGAAGGCCCAAATTGAGACTTTCGCATGCGTCCGCCCCGCCCCGCCCAATATAGTGTTGTGGCCCCATAGGGAGTTCTACCGAAGGCGCGAGTGGCGACGTTCGCACGCGTTCGCCCCACCCAGTACAACGCTTCGTGGCCCCACAAGGAGCTCCACCGAAGGCCCGAATGGCGACATTCGCGTGCGTCCGCCCCACGCAGTTCACCGTTTCGTGGCCCCAGAGGGAGCTCCGCCGAAGGCCCCTAGTGGCGACGCTCGCATGCGCCTGGCCCACCCAGTTCAGCGTTTCGTGGCCCCGTAGGGAGCTCAACCGAAGGCCACAGTGGCGACGTTCGCATGCGTCCGCCCCACGCAGCACAACGCTCCGTGGCTCCATTTGGAGGCCCACCGAAGGCCCCAGTGGCCAAGTTCGCGTGTGTTCCACCCAGTACAGCACTTCGTGGCCTCATAAGGAACTCCACCGAAAGTCCTAGTGGCGAGGCTCGCATGTGTTCGCCCCGCCCAATACACCGTTTCGTGGGCCCGTAGGGAGCTCCACTGAATGCCCCAATGACGACGTTCGTATGCGTCCGCCCCACGCAGCACAGCGCTTTGTGGCCCCATAGGGAGTTCCACCGGAGGCCCCAGCGGCGACGTTCGCTTG